AGAGTAACTCGCAGTGATGACAATCAGCTCCTCGTGAGCTGACCGTGCATGCTCCGCTCCCAAATAAACGACACACAAATCGTGTGTATCCCCCGCCGCCAGATATCGTGGGCAGGGAGAAACACAGCGTTTGTAATGCCGTTCGCTCGCCATAGACTTTCTCATTGTTTTATATATATGAGTGCTTGTGCGGACAGTAATATAAACAGACACATACACAGAGCGCTACTGAAGAGCAGAAGCTGGTTTGCGCCCGGCCGGATGCGCTTTTATGCTTTCTGGTGCTTACGTCACCCTGCTCGTGACGTCTCGCTGCTCCATTGGACGGATTTGACACGTGCTTCAGAACGCGGGGCGTTCCGGGCGTTCCCAAAGCGATCTCGACGCAGCTCGAGTTCCTGAAGGGGAACTACTACTACTACTACTACTACTACTACTACTAATAATAATAATAATAATTATTGAAATGGGTTTTGTATTCAAAAGCCAGTAACAGCAACAGAAGTCGGTTAGGCCTATTGTGTTTCATTGCTTCCGCGTTGATACTCAAACATGTCAGTATGGTTGGAAACATGAAGCTGTGGGTAAGGCATTGTGACAAAAACTTGAGCTGAACACGTAAAGGTTGAATCACGTGGTTTCGAAAATCAGAAATATTTCGAAAAGGTTATACAGGCTTGGAATTACATGAGGGCGACTAAATGGTGGCATAATTTACCCTTTTTAATAGGCTAAATAAGAAGAATATATATGCATAAATGCAAAATTGTTACATAATAGGCCAACTACTTCTACAGATTACACTGGGATAAATGTGCTGGCAGCTCACATCACAGCACTTCTCAGTTTGACCTCAAGATGTCGCTATATATCTGCAGTAGTTTCAACCTAATTTGCTCAAGGATGGTTTGCAGTAAAGCGTTTTAAACCTATATTTGCCAAAGGTCCATGTCCCTCATTCACCTCCTTTGTCAGAATATTCTTTGTCAGCAACAGAGGAACTTGTCCGCTCCAGTCTAGGAGTCAATTACCATGGCAGGGCTGTGTCAGAGCACGCTGTGCTTTTGAGGTGCTTCAGGTCACCTTAGTCATTCCTGCTAAAGCACAGGTCAACGCTCAGTCTCAGCAGTTCATGATGGAGGACACGAGCCTGCCGTAGTTGATCCACATTTGGACACTGATGTTGGGAGCCCTGGGACATTTGTCAGTCCTCTCTAAGCTTGACTAGCAGGCTTTGTTTGAGCAGATATACTGTATGCCCTCTGCTTGCCATGGGGTCAGATATAACAGCAAGTTACACACACACACACACACACACACACGTTGATCATAAGAGACTTCTTTCAATTTTTTTTTTTTTTTTGCCTACATGTTACACTAATCTTGAGTTGTGCGAAAAAGTGTGATCTTTACAAATCCAATTTAGACCATGGTCATATATGGTTCAGGATATGATGCATGGCCACACAACCCAAGTGTTAACTGTGAAATCTGAATTTATTTTCAAAATTTAGTATTAATTAACATCAAACATTATGAGCAAATGCTTGTCATCATTCAGTGCACACTGTGCCTTACCAGACAGAATTATAATGAATCAATGAAGCAACAGAAAACACAGTAGAATAACTAATGTAATTGATTTTGGGAAGAAGCTTCAGTTGAGAAAACAGAAATATATTGTAGTCAAGTAAATATGTTAGTCTTGTAATATGCAATTCCACTTATTACACAACATGCAAGTTCACATATATGACTTTTTTGCTGTTGTTTTGCATTCATGTGGGTAATGCACGTGACATTTTTGTAAATATGCAGGTCATTTCAGGTCAAAGAGCAGCAGCAATGTAAATAGTCAATGCAGATAATCAGAAGTAAGCATAAAAAGTGTCAGGAAATGTATAATTTTAACTTTAATAAAATAAAAATAATAAATCATGCAGTCCCATTAACAGTCTCAGAGAATAGTGCTTTGGTTTAAAGGAATAGTTTCACCTAAAAATAAAATTTTGCTGAAAATTTACTCATCCTTAGGCTGTCCAAGATGTAGATGAGTTTGTTTTTACAACGGAACAGATTTGAAAAACTTTAGCATTTAGCATCACATCAAAAGCCATCAACATATTTATTAGAACTGTTTTGGACTGTTTTCACTTGTGAATGGTGCTTGATCTGTGCATATTTCTCTCCTGATTCAGACCAGGTGACTTTTTCACTGAGAAAGCAATATTATGGATAGAGGACTCATAGCAACTTTTTGCTTCACAAGATAGACTGGAGTCGTGTAGATTACTTGGGAATTATTGTGCTTTTTTATCATTGTTTTTGTGTATTGTGTTTTTATCAGCTGTTTTAGACATTGTGATGGCAATCTTTCACTGTAGAGAATCCACTGGTGAGCAAGTGATGTAGCCTAATACTAAATTCTGCAAACTTGTCTTAATGAAGAAACAAATTCATTTACATCTTGGATGGCCTTGCTAGTAAATTTCTAGCAAATTTCCATTTTTGGGTGAACTATTCAATTCAGTTCAATTCAAATATTTATTGTCATTGTAACATGTACAACAAAATTAAAGTACCATCCAATCAGTGCATCACTCATGATCAACAAAACATATAAAAACAGCTAAAATATTAAAAATAATATAATAAAAACACACCCACAGCATACATTCTTTTACAACTATTTATACAACTATTCCTTTAAGTCATACTTGGAATTTATTTAAAGGAACTATGCAGATTTTAGAAACCCTTCTTATGGTTGAGATTATATCGCCACCTGTTGGTTTGGCATGCTCTTGACAGTGCTTCATAGCATGCGTTTGCGTTTTCATGTGGACGGAGATTTTTTTAAAAACGGAAGAAGGAAAAACTCTGTTTATAAAAATACCCGTGTACTTGTGGACATGGCCTAAAACTCAATTCCTGGAGGGCCGGAGCCCTGCAGAGTTTTGATTCAACTCTAATTAAACACACCTTATGATCAACAAAACATATAAAAACAGCTAAAATATTAAAAATAATATAATAAAAACACACCCACAGCATACATTCTTTTACAACTATTTATACAACTATTCCTTTAAGTCATACTTGGAATTTATTTAAAGGAACTATGCAGATTTTAGAAACCCTTCTTATTAGCGACCCGGTGTAGCCGTTAAGTGAACTGCAGCCAACAACTTATTTATCATACTCATGCACATGTAATGTACAAGAGATCGAACGTACACCTATAGGCCTATACGCAAAGCTGTTGTACTTTCTTATTTTGCTTAGCTACAAGTAAAACAACACCGTCCACGCTGCATGTGGTGTTTAGATGAATATGTAAATATGTGCTGCTGCTGCACGCTTTCCTCTCTCCTCTCAATAACAAAATAAACACAACAAATGACAGCGGTGAGAAAACAGCAGTTAAGAAAGCATCTGCGATGTGAATATATTTGCACCAGCTCTGCAATTAACCGGCATCATGTCATCAGATGAGTCAAATGAAATTTCTGTTATTATAGTTTGATTAGTATATTCGTAGCAATATAATATATATAGTTCTATATCAGGGGTGTCAGGCCCTGTCCACACGAACGCGGTTATTTTTAAAACCGCAGCTTTTTCTACGCGGTTAGGCCGTTCGTCCACATGCAAACGCAAGTTTTTTTGGCTTGTGACGTCGGCGCCT